TTCCTAAAATAGTATCCTATTTTAGGAAAGTTTCTAAAATTAAATTTAAAATTAATTTGATTTGGATTGGACATTAAATCCCATCCTAATTAGTAAATCCTAATTAGGGAAGTGAATTCGGTCACCCCTCCAAAATCCCATGAATTTTAAATTTCAAATTTCAAACTCCTCTTAATTGCTTTCCTAAAATAGTTTCTTATTGATTAGGAAAGTTTCCTATTTAAATTCAAATCATTATTTGAATTTAAATACTTTCTTAATTGATGAATTAGTTTAGAAAATTTTTTCCTTTGAATAAAATCTGAAATCAGATTTTAAATCTGATTTCCAATCAATAATTAAAGCTATGAGTCCACATACATTGAACCTACCACCCACTCTCTCAAGGCCGGCTCACCCCTCCCTCTTTCTCATTAGTCCATGCTATTAATAGTCTATAATCACTCCCTAAATTTAGGTCAATTCAAATTTGAATGATGATTGATTTAATATGTCAATCCTAATTGAAAATTATTGATTAGGCAAGCTATCAAAGCCCCTCACGTAATCCCTAGCATCCAAACCTGCTCTACGGTTGTCGAGAGAAATCCCAAGGGCTGTTACAAAATTTTTCCTGCTTTCCCACCTGCTATCCACTGTTTGGAAAATTCCTTGTTGCTGTCCTCTGTCCAAAAGTGCTCAAATCAGCAACAAGGCTGTCCAGGGAGACCTCCTAGCTGCTGTCCAGTTGATTGGAGAATCACCGACTGCTGTCACTAGTCCAGGACGTCAAAATCAGCAAGGAAGCGGTCCAAGAAGGCCTCCCAACTGCTATCCAGTTAAGATCGAAGCTTCATTTCACCTGTCTTCGGAGATCCCCAACATTACGAGTTGTTGTCCAAGACTTCTAAGAACCAAAAGCTGTTGTTTAGACTTCACGATTTGCTCTTCAAGACCCATAGGACTCAAAACCCCATACCCATTCTACATCAGCAAATTTGTAAGTCTCACACTTCAAGTCCGATCCTTAACGTCCCAATGACTAAAGTTGACAATGACTAAAGTTGACACAACTCTAAACTCATGACAAAAACCTACATCATATGCCAAAATGACATGATATTTTTTTTTTCACTTGCTTAGTATCCTCAAGGCCTTCACAAGAAAACTTCTTTTTTAAATGCAAACTCTCGATTCATAATTGTCACAAGCCAAATTTATAGACCCAATCCTCTATATATAGGGGGTAGAGTCCACAAGATCTACAAAACAATAAACATTCAAATGATATCAAACGATATGCAAAATCATAGACTATCCTTTATTAGCGAGTTTAGTTGACAATGTCCAAAATCACAAAATGAAATAATTCAAATCCTCCTTTGATGGGTTGTGGTTATTGTACATCATAACTGGAAGGGTCCGCTCTAAAAATCAAACTCTAAAATTGTTATTAGAAATATTTTATGCATTATACTGTGATGATAGGTGCGGATAGAAAATCTCAACTAGAGAAGTTTATTTAAAAAAAATCATCTTTCTTAATTACAAGGACAAGTGTTTCAAATATTACACACATATGATGGGTATGGTTATTGCATGTGATAATCGAGGTGCTCTTTCTCAAAAGTCAAGTCTTTAAATTGCAAATACAATTGATGTAAATATTTTATTCCGGTGATGGTAATTTTGATTGATAATCTCAATCAAAAGAGATTATGTTACCAAATGCCCCCAAATCTCAACACCAATTATGTTGGTTCCACATTATGATTAAATATAAAAATATAAAAGAATAAAACTAAAAAATTCAAGTGAAATTTATTGCTGTAAAGGTTAAAACAATAAATCATTCAACATCCTTAATATTTATCGGAGATAAATTTAAGATAGCCTTATTTGACAAAGTGCTAATGTCATATCAAGCACATCGTTGTGATCACCCTAAAAAAATCTCATGCTAGTAAGGACGCAACATGTTTTCTCTAATCGAATTGTTTTGATGCCATATGATACCACTAAATAACAATTTGGATTGGGACCCTTTGATTTAATGGTTTCACCACAAAATGGTACCCTTAAAATTACGATCAAGGCTAATCCACATGATGCCTGCAAGGCCCTCTTGGATGATGCAACTTATGGTTTCTGATAAGAATTCTTTTGTTTGGTTGGGTCCATTATCTCTATTTACTAAGCAAGTAAGTCTTAGTTGGGAACTTGATGCCCCGAATGACATAAGCAGCAACAGCTCAAGGACCATGTCTTCCCCTTCGGCCTCTTCAATAATCCCAACTGTAACAACAACAGTGGAAATCTAAGCATGAGGTTGAGTATGGGACTATATTATGATGGAACTTGAGTTGCAAAATTCGGAATCCAAGAAAATAGCCCAAAAATAGTGGAAGAAAAGAAGATTGCTTGGATGAAAACACTCACAAACACTTCCTTTAGTCAAATATCAAAAGACTTATAAGTTTCCACGGATACAATGCTCCCAATTCGAGAAGGGAAGCTTTCTCCCAAGCCCTAGAGAAGAAGAAACCTAAAACAGCCACCAAACAAAGATCCTCCAAAAATAAACCCTAACTCCCCTTAAACCCTCACATGATCCCTCCAAAATACCCTAAACACCCCTAGGGCAAACAAAATTCCCTCCCTTATTCATTTGGTGGGCCCCTTGGGCCCACCCGCCCCCCTTCTTTCCCTTCGGCCGACCGCCCAGGCAGGCGGGTTCTCCGCCTGCAGTAAACAAGAGCCGGCCCTTTTTGGGCCGGTGTTGAAGATGGATGGACCGGCTGGTCCGGTCCATCATATTACCCTTAATATTCATGATGCCGAACTTCTCATAAACATTCATAATGACTTGAATGTTCAGTGGCTTTGCCCATGCAAGTCTAGCTTTGTAACTAGGATTAGTACCAAGAATTGATCATTGATGTGACTACACTTGAGCTTGTAGGCTTGTCAAAGCGTTGGGTAGATTATGACTTGACTCGACCCAAGTATTGATTTGATAGCATGGTAATTACGCTTGTTTATAGATTGGATAACCTAATTAAATTATATACCCAATCCATTTATAAAAAGGTGGGTCAATATTTGAGTTGAGATCACAAAACTTGCTTAGGATTGTCAACCAAAGCTGTATTTGGTGACTATAGTTTGTATGGAGAGGGATAAGCCTACTAAGGATTTTGACGTGCATCTTAGAATGTTAACCCGTGATGGAAAATTCATCAGCGTAGCCATCATGGGACCACTATAGTCTGCCCTCTATTAACCTCCTAGATGTCGTAGCTTAAAGTAAATTGAGGCAATTTGTGGGTGGGATTGTACAAAAGGTTATATTTCCTAAAGATGGAAAAACTTGTATAGAATAAATAACCCTAATCTATGGCGAGTGCCTCTTATGGTGATACTGAAATTTAGTTCGTAGTGTTGCTATGGATGGCAACGTAGGACGGTCAAGATTGTCTTACTTTTGGATGTAAAGACATAATTACATGGAAGCTGTGGGCAAGATGGTGTTGAAAGGACAAGACGACCATTGAAGTTGGCTTTGATGATCCTCCTCTTGAATGTAAACGTGATATGACCTTTGGGGCAATGTTGAAAGTTTGTGAAGACCAATGATGGTCTCTACGGTCTTCTTTTTGGAGGTGAATGTAGCATGACCTTGGGGTGGAAGATGAGGTGAAACTAAACGCTCGAGAAGGTTACAAAGGACGGTCTATGCATTCCTTCCCTTGAGGTGAAGGGGTGCGACTTTTGTGTGATAGATGAGGCTATATTGAAAGTTCAGGGAGGTGATTGAGAATAGCTGCGATGATTGTCCTCATAGAAGTGACTTGAAGGCAGCAGACAAAGTAGAGTAGGTTGGTCTGGATGCCACTATGGCCATTGCCTTGCTCCTTGAAGCTAATGTGACATGATCTGAGAGTTGGAGAAAAAGCAGAGTTGAAAGGTCATGACTATTGTGGTTGTCGAGATGGTCTTCCAAGAGGCAAAGGCGGCACTACTTTTTTGTGCCAACTTCTGTGTGTGTAGCTTTTGTAATGTCGCATTGAAGTTTCATATTTAATGATACTCTAGAGATATATGGATTCAAATCTTATTAATAGTGTGTATTTTTTATTTTCATTCAAGTTAAAATAGAAATATGGGATCAAAATTGTACGGATCTCTGGTTTCTTTAAGTAACTGCAACTAAGCATTTTCAAGCCATTTGCAATGCACTTCTTAGATACCTTAAAAGTGTTTCCTTTTGAATTACCCATTGCTGGGTCTTATTCCTATTTTTGTGCATGATTAATGTGGTTAAATGATTGATTTGTTGATTTTAGTCCTTTGTTCCATCGAGTTGGGAATGCCATTTTTGTGGTGCATCTTTGTAGCAACAATTTCTTTGATTATGGTATAGTTAGCGTCTATTTAATGTTGATTAGGTTGGCTGCAATCTGCATAAATATACTCGATTTTTGGCTCCATGCATCGACTACTTGATTACTGTTTTTGTGTGCATTGTTTTATTTACTCGTGGAGTTGAATATTACTTTCAAATTTTGAAGGAGCCTTTAATCACAGCTAATTTACACATTTATACTTGTATCCTCATGATGTATTCTGTAAGCTTGTGAACTCTTCAGTAACATATACTAAAGAAGGTTATTTCTTGGAATCAAAACCTGCAGTAGTTTTGAGAATCTTTTTGGATTTATTTACTGTATATCCCTCAGAGCATGCAAGGAGTTATGTGCAACATTGTGGCGTACTTAAATTTGAAAACTTGTTTCTATATTGCTTATATGTCCGTTTCTGTCTTGGAACATGTCTTTTGACTTTTCAAATTGATACCACACTACCTGTTAGTTTTCTAAGCACTCAATTTTTCGCCGGTCCTCTGTTTTTTTTTTTTCCTTTAGTCATTTACGCGTTTTTGTATCATTATTATCATATCATGATTTGTTATGTTGGCTTGTGTCCTAATGTGGTCAAACAACATACTTCTTTATTCACAGGAGCACTTGCACTATGATGTGGTGAAGAGTGTTGATCCGGATATGAAGAAGGTGACAGTTCAGATTAATGTATTCAAGCAACATCGGCAAACAATTCAAGTATGAAAAAACACTTGTAACTTTACATCTTGAGAAATAGGATTAGCTAGTAGAATGCTGGTTATCGTAATTATATTGGGATTCTAGTTAAATTCTTGCAGAGAATTTGCTTATGCAATGAATTTAGTGAAAATTTGTAGTGTATATGATAGAAAATACTTGAGTTCGCAAGCAAACCTAACAATAATTGGTAAAACAGTGAGAAAAATAGAAGAACTTTGGTTGAAACAATAAAAAACAGTAGATAATCTTATAGAAATCAAAGCGAAGCAAGAACAAAACAAGGATACAATTGATCCTCAATTTGAGAGGAGGATCATTCTCTCCCAATCTCTAGACTAGAAGTCTAGAGCCGAAAATACCAAAGAGAACTCCAAGAGAAATAATAATTATGCCTTAAAACCTAACCCTACCCTAATTCCTTCATCCTACTAAGCATACAATTAATTAATTAAGCCAAATTACTCCCTTGCCCTTGCCGCCCCCTCCTTTGCTTCCAATTAGTTTAAATTTGAATTCCTAGTGGGGCCCACTCCTCCCTCTCTCTCTTTGGTCTTGCTGCCGCCCCTCCTTCTATAGCAATGAACTGGCCCCTTCAAGGGGGCCGGTTGGTGTTGGACCGGTCCACTAGGGACCAGTCTAACAGTATACTGTATAACCTTGAAGACCTTGTCTGGGGTTTACAGGGTGTTTCTGTTTAGGATATTCATAATAATTACTTAATGACATCACTGTAAGATCTTGGGTTTTGGCTCTTATTATTTCCTGTGAGAACAACATGCTGCCAGCCTAATCTTACCCTTCTTGTTGCTTTGTGCACTATTCTATATGATCGTATGAAACACCTTTTACTGGCGTTCAGAGTTCCTAATGTTAGGTTAATGGGAAGCAAAAGTATGACGGCTTACAATGTGTAGTGGCTTCTATGCTCTTCCAGAGCAATTGACTCTTATATAGTCCTTAGGTTACACTTTGCTTCCTATTGTGTTTGAAAAATTGGGTGTTACATATGCCAAGTTATGTAAAAATCTAGATTATAGTACCATGGACGATCTAGGCCATGTGCAAGATCAATGGGTAAAAAATGCATGTGAGACATGATCATTGAAAAAATATGGAAGTTTATCCACCCCACCCAAGCCAGAGATATGTTTAAGGCTTTGGTTCTATCTTCTCTAAAGATTAAGTAGAATAATTTTTAGAATAACTTTCATGCAATCACCACTATCTATAATGATAATAAGAGTTTTTTTTCCACTAATAAATTGGTTGCGTAAATTGCACTTCTTACATGTTTGTTCAAATTTAGGTATGTTGATGATTCAACACAGCATTAGAGAATGATACATGAAGGTATCCTTGGTATCGATACCACACTTTGAATAGCTCTACAAATATCGTCTTCTTCTACTTCAGCTACAAAAATATGAATATGTCTATTGTGCATAATTCATATGGATGGGTCCATTTAATGACATTTTAGACAAGCACCACCAATGATCTTTGAATTGATTGGGCTTTTTATTGATGATGACAAAGGAAAATCAAGAGTTAGGGTGGCAAAAATGATCGAAAATCAAAGGACACTCAAACCTTACTTGGATTTTAATTCGATTCAAATGACAATTGTGTCATGTATGTGGGATTCACAACACCTGTAAGTCATTAGGAACATTAACATTATGCCTTCTTCCCTAGATCAGACTTTTTGAATAGTTGATAGGGCCTAATGCTCTTACATCAGGTAATCTTGTTACTACTTTTTGACATTAGGGTGTACTTTGAATTTGCACAAATTGACATATTGCATCTCTTTTGCTTTAGATATTGTTCCAAGTCAATGGAAAGTAAAAAAAAAAAAAAAACTTTCTCAATTGATACACTTTCATATTTAAACTCTCAAACTAATCATAAATCTAGATAGAGTTGCGTTAGTATTGATAGTTTGGGAATGTATCTAATTAGAAAGGTAATCTATATTTAGTGAATCGTGTAATGATTATTTGATTGTTTGTTAAAACAGTTGTACTCATCCTCTATTTTTAAGAGAGGGATTCTTTATTGAATGATAATCAAGAAAGATATTTTTTCCTCCAACATACTATCTAAGTATAATTAGCCTACATTAGTCATTGCAGTCCCTCCTCAGTCCGCCCTCCTCCCTCCTCATGTCTCCGATCATCCTATCCTTGCATTTCAAACCCTTTCTTCCAACACCTTCATATCCCCAAACCCTAGTCCACAAGACTTGCCTACGCCTTAGACCCCTCCTCTCCCCCCTCCAATTTTTCCTCTATTCATACAAGGCCTTGGCTTACTCTGCATGCGAAATGATGTGAGTCAAAACACTACTTGAGGAGTTTGATTTTCCTATTACACTATGATAATTAAGCCATTATTTATACTGCTAGTAATATAGTTTTCCATGAAAGAGCTAAACATGTCGAAATTGATTGTCACTTTATAAGGGATGCTGTTCTGTTTATAAAAGATCATTGTTTTTGATGTTGGTAAGTGAAGAACAATTGGTTGATATGGTCAGTAAAGCTCAAGGACCTCTCCATCTTTGAAACCTGTAGAACAAGCTGGATTTAATTAATACATGTGTTCCAATATGAGGAGAAGTTTTAAAGTAAGGGAAGATCAACTTGGAAAAGTAATTATTATTTATTTGTTAAAATACGTGTATTCTAGTAAATTTTTCCTCTAAAAAGGTTTTAAAATATTTTACAATGAATCATGAGTTCAACAAATTTATTCACGTTGTGTGTTTCAAAGAAAACAATCCATTCATATTAAATGACCGTGATAAGTAGTATGAACAAATTTTCTTAGTAACAAGTTTTATTTGAGTGAAGTAAGACGTTACAATAAAGCTATCATTACAAATCTCGTTAAGGTCTGACCACTTTGAAATTTTACATGACCGCATGGACTAGTTGGTGCAAGATGATAACCACTATTGATAGTTAGCCTCTTTTCCATGCTATAACGGTTTCCATTGGCACCATTAGCATTGCTATCTACTTGATCAAAATCAATTAGCTCTTGCTGTTCTTGAAGGTTCTATTGTATTCTTTCATGAGGTTTGTGTGCAACAGCATGTGTGCATTTTGGACCTCTGGGTCATGTAACCTCTAGAAGACCAACTGTTCTCTATTATGTGTAGCATCATTATGGATAAGCTCTTATTCAAAGCAATATTAAAAAAATGTTCTTGCAATCTTACGAAGTTTTTATCTCTTTGTTGATTTTAGCATAATTCAAGTTGGATGGTTGAAGTGGAGGAATGCATCGGGCTTGTTATGTGATAGAAAAGTACCCCTCTAACTTAAGGGAAAATTCTATAAGATGGTGGTGAGGCCTGCAATGCTTTATGGTGCCGAATGTTTGGCCATTAAAAGAGAAGCATAATACTAAGTTAAGTGTGGCAGAGATGAGGATGCTCAGGTAGATGAGTGGCTTTACCCTTAGAGATATGATACGAAATGAGCATATACGTGAAAAGGTTGGAGTAGCTCCAGTAGAGGATAAGATTAGAGAGAGTTGCCTTAGATGGTTTGGTCACATAAAACGGCGGCCTTTCGATGACATGGTTACGAGAGTAGAGATATTAGATTTGACTTATGTTAAGAAAGGTAGAGGCGGACCTAAAAAGGCTTGGTTAGAAAATATTAGGATTGACCTTTTTTTATTAGATTTAAACGAGAATTTGACTTTTAATAGGACACAATGGAGGAAAAGGATTCATGTAGCCGACCCCACGTAGTGGGATAAAGGCTTGATGTTGTTGTTGTTGATTTCATCACTTATAAGAATGGATATGTTATAACTCAGATTGATTATTGTCTTGTAAGAAAAACAGATCGTTTAGATTGCAGAGGTTGAAAAGTTATACCGAGTGAAAATTTATGTACCCAACACTGCTCATTAGTTTTAGACTTTAAGATGAAGGGACATAGTATGAAAAATATAGTATATTGTTGTTCTAGGATTAGATTGTGTCATTTAAAAACTGTAACAAAAATATATTTGAGATTAAGAATGACGATCTTAAGATTTTGTCGGTGCATGAGGAAGTTGATATTATGTGGGAAATAGTAGCTTGTAATATTATGAATGTTGTAAAAGATGTGCTTGGAGTATCAAAAGGAAAAAGCTTCTAATAGTAAAAATAGTTGGCGGTGGATTCAAAATGTGTAAGAAAATATTAAAAACAAGAAACTCTATTATAAAAATTGGTTTAGATGTAAAAATTCTTAAAATTGGGAAATATATAAAGTTGTCTGTAAGGAGTCTAAGAATGCATTATGGGATGTAAAACTTTAGCTTTTAGTGATTTAAGGGCGAAAGATATATGTATAAGCTAGCCAAACAAAGAGATAGGATTAGTAAGGATTTAATTCAGGTGAAGTACATTAAGTATGTAGATCCAAAAGTACTTTTTTTAGAAGAGGATATTCAACATATATAGATGCTATATTTTGTTAAGCTTTTCAATGAAGATTGTGAAAATACGATTGACTTTAGTGACCTTAGCACTATAAATGAAGTGGAGAAAATTTGTAATGAGATTTTTGATTTTATCAGCGTATCACTAAATTTGAAGTTAGAGAGGTTTTAAAGAAAATGAGGTGTGAGAAAACTGTTGGACCTGATGATATTCCAATAGAGGTGTGGAAATGCTTAGGAGATAAAGAAATTTCTTGGCTTACTAAACTTTTTTAATATTATTTTGAAGGTTAAAAAGATGTCAGATAAGTGGAGAATGAGTGTGTTTTCCTATCTTTATATATTAAGCTGATGCACAAGGTTGTGCAAATTATAGAGGAATTAAGTTGATGTGTCATACTTTAAAACATGGGAGATAGTTATGGCGAATAGGTTATGACGTGATACTAATGTTTCTTAAAATCAAATTGGATTCATGCCAGGTAGGTCACTATGGAAGCCATACATTTATTGAGAGGTTTGATGGAGAATTATAGAGAGAAAGGAAGATCTTCATATGATATTTATTGATTTAGAGAAAGCATATGATAAAGTTCCAAGAGAAGTGCTATGGAGAGTTCTAAAAGAGAAAGAGATTAATAATGCTTATACTCACGTCATTAGGGATATTTATGCTGGAGCTGTTACTTGTGTTATAGCACAAGGTGGTTTGACAAAGTATTTTACAATTTTAATTGGATTACATCAATGATCAGCCTTAAGCCCATATCTTTTTTGCTTTAATCATGGATGTTCTTACTAGAGATTTGCAAGAGGATGTTTCTTGGTGTATGCTTTTTGTTGACGATATTCTTCTTGTTGATTAGACTAAAGAGGGAGTTGAAGGTAAACTTGAATTATGGAGGCCAACATTAGAGTCTAAAGGTTTTCGTTTGAGTAGGATCTAAAACCAAGTACATGGAGTGTAATTTTAGTAATAGATCTAGCGGGGGGTTTATGACTTTGAGCGATCAATGTCATTAATAAGAGCACACATTTGAGATATCTTAAGTCTATTGTTCAGAGTGATGGTGAAATGGGGATATTATTAGCACAATTCAAGTTGGATGGATGAAGTGGAGAAATGCATCAGGCTTGTTGTGTGATAGAAAAGTACCATTCAAACTCAAAGGGAAAATTCTATAAGATGGTGGTTAGACCTGTAATGCTTTTTGGTGCAGAATGTTGGCCATTAAAAGAGAAGCATAATGTTAAGTTAAGTATTGCAGAGATGAGGATGCTTAGGTGGATGAGTGGCTTTACTCTTAGAGACAAGATATGAAATGAGCATATACGTGAAAAGGTTGGAGTAGCTTCAGTGGCAGATAAGGTTAGAGAGATTTGCCTTAGATGGTTTGGTCACATAAAACGGCAGTCTTTTGAAGACTCGATTAGGAGAGTAGATGTATCAGATTTAACCTATGTTAAGAAAAGGTAGAGGTAGACCTAAAAAGTCCTAGTTAGAAAATATTAGAAATAACATTTCTTTATTAGATCTATGAGAATTTGACTCTTAACCGGACACAATGGAGAAAAATGATTCATGTAGCCGGATCGAGTTGTTGTTGTTGATTTCACATACAACCCCTTTATCGAGACTGATTTTGAGTAGCATCTGATGCATCCTTATAATGGTACCAAATCTGATGCCGGGCATATGAAGATTTAAGTCTTTCTTATTGCAAACTAATGCAAAATGTTGTTATTGAATGCGAAAATTAACAAATAATTGATATACAACTTGATTGATTTTTTCACTGAGAATGCCCCTAAAAAAAAACCTAATTTAAAACAGATGCATATATTTGCCTACAAAATTAGCGAAAAATACAAGATGTCTAACACAATTATTTAATATCTGTGATAACTGTAGAAAAAAAAAAAACTTTCAAGTCGGCATGATTTGATGATAGTCATATATGGTGGGATGGGAATTATTTCCCACTTGAACTGAGATCATAGTACTCTTTTCATGCTCAAAATCAGAATTTTGTTGTGCTGAATCTGAATAAATGTAATCACAATTCACAAACAACTAAATAGAGGGCTGAGGAGAGATGGAATAATAAAAGCTAAGAAATAATAAGGCTCAGGCTTTCCATTCAAAAAGTTTGATTTTGCTTACTGACTATTTTACTTTCTACTCAATTCGCAAAAGGAAAAATCTGATGAATAATGACTGAAAGAAGTTGGTCTCCTTAATTTTCTGACAAATCCTTGGTTTTTATACTATAGAACCTTCATGCTTGAAGTAAATTCTTTTGGCATACAAATGAGGTGTTGTAACCTTTAACAGGAGGTTAATTGGATATTTAAGCATTACATATTAACCTGTGAAGTTTTAAATTTTCTGCTCATTTTAACAGTATCTGAAACCTCAAGATCACAGTAAGCTCTCACAAGTGGAGCTTCTTGTTATTGATGAAGCTGCTGCTATCCCACTGCCTATTGTGAAGTCGTTGCTGGGTCCTTATCTTGTTTTCCTCTCATCTACTGTGAATGGGTAAAGCCTAATTACTTGGGGATATTCCTCTCCCAATTCATTTTGCATCATTTGCCTGTTTTTAATATGACTTAGGCTTCGTTTGGGATGGCTTTCTTACTACTTATTAAAGCATTTTTTTAGTACAAAAGTTTTAATTTTTTAACTAAAAAACTGTTTCACGAAACAGTAAGAAAGTCGTCCCAAACGAAGCCTTAATGTGTGCATATGCATTTTCACTTTGCCTGTTTGTACATGCACATGCCTACTGTTATGTTATGCGTGTTCTTCTAGATATGAGGGAACTGGTCGATCATTGTCATTAAAGCTTCTTCAACAGTTGGAATCACAAAGCCAAATTTCTAGTCAGAACCTTGATAGTCCTCATTCTGGTAACAGCTTCTATTTTACCAATTTTATAATTTTAGTCTGTTATATTTCTTGGATATTCTTGTAGAGCTGTGTTGGGCAGAGCTGCCAGGCTTCAGTCTGTGGATTCCAAATTTTAGTATTGAACTATTGATTTCAAATTTATTTACGTTTTAACTCTGACGTGCATGTTTGTATTGGTTTTTAATCATTAGAAAATAGAGATCTGATGAATTGATAATGAGGAGCATTTTATTATTGTTGGCAGGCATTGAATTTAAGGAAATATGCTACTCATATGCATTTTTTGAACCCAGTGATTCTTGAGTTCATGTGGCACAATCGAAAGTTTGAGATATTCTGAGCTTTTTTGTTATCTCATATTTTCTGTGCTTCAGATACACATAGTTTGATTTGTTAAAAAGAAAAATAAATCATCGATGCCTCAGATTATTTAAAGCAAGATTCTTCTTTTAAAGTTATATTGTTTTGATTGCAAAATTGTTGATATATCTAGCTTGGTAATGATATATCTTTATGCGAAGAAAATGTGCAAGAAAAAGGGTTCCTGAAATAATTAATGGCTGTTAGTTTATGTTCCTTTGGTTAATTGCTATTTTGATCCTGAACTCTAAAAAAATGCTCACAACTGTTTTGATAATCTGATATGCAGGGAATAAAAACTTGTCATGATAGTTTAGTTCAAAATATTCAGTTGGCTTATAGCATATGTCCTTGCAAGCTGCCTAGCTTTACTTTTTTTTCATCTTGATAGTTGATGACATTGACTCGTAAATGCAGGTAGACTTTTCAAGAAGGTGGAATTGCATGAGTCCATTAGATACGCTTCTAGTGATCCCATCGAGTCTTGGCTCAATGGTTTACTTTGCCTAGATGTTGCAAATTATATTCCAAATATTAGCAGGCTAGTCTTTTATATCTGAAGGCTTGTTTAATTTTTTAATTTATCCAATTGTTTGTTGCTTATTGTTTTTCTCTTCTTTCTGCCTTGGTTTTATTACAGAATGCCTCATCCTAGTGAATGTGATCTTTATTATGTTAATCGTGACACACTTTTCTCATATCACAAAGAGAGTGAAATATTTCTACAGGTATGAACTTGGAAGTTTTGTTTCTGCATATTTGTTGCAAAATATTTTCAAGCGCCTAATATCTACCGTAGAAAAGTAGAAAAAATTACTTTTGAATTTTATTTTTTGATTTTACAAAGTGTGAAAGTATTATAGACTTCTCCAAAAGGTTAGCAATAGAAATGAATTCAAAGTTACTAAAAAAATAAAAATGAAAAAAATCAATAGGAAGGGCTAGCAAGTAGGAAGTGGAGGCACATAGATTACAATTTAAGGGCTATTAGAGAGTTGTTCTAACCGTTAAGACCTTAATTCATGTATTGAATATCTTTTGCCAAGATTCATTAACTTATATATAAATCTGCCATTATGTTGGAGAAATTCTATCATCCTCAACGTATTGCATATTTTGTGATCGAGCATGGCGTAAGAAAGATAATTTGCTATCCCAAAGAATAAAAATATTATTTCCTTATAGACTCAATAACAAAATTTACAACCCATTCAATATTTTGTTGAATTTGGTTTATTTTATTATGGGATGGATGCCCCCATAAGGCATGTCCCTATTGTTAATTACATCTCAAATATTTGTTATTTGAGAAAACTTTTGATTAAACTAGTGGTTTTATTTTGGCGTAAGAAAGATAATTTACAACCCATTCAATATTTTGTTGAATTTGGTTTATTTTATTATGGGATGGATGCCCCGATAAGGGCATGTCCCTATTGTTAATTACATCTCAAATATTTGTTATTTGAGAAAACTTTTGATTAAACTAGTGGTTTTATTTTGGCGTAAGAAAGATAATTTGCTATCCCAAAGAATAAAAATATCATTTTCTTATAGACTCAATAACAAAATTTACAACCCATTCAATATTTTATTGAATGTGGTTTATTTTATTATGGGATATGGATGCCCCATAATGGCAAGTCCCTATTGTTAATTAAATCTCAAATGTTTGTTATTTGAGAAAACTTTTGATTAAACTAGTGATTTTTTTTGAAATCATTAAAATATTGGCTAAAGGCTTTCATTTTAAAATCAATGAAAATCTTGTTTAAAGATCTTACTTTTTAGGAATTTCAAAGGAAGAGAGAGATCAACTTTGATTGGAGTTTGGAATGAGAGCCAAAGGGAGGAATGGTAGGAGTACTTGATTCTGAAGAAAACTCAAAGATACTCAAACTATTCTTTGTTGTGTATTACATTTTATAATTCAATTTTTATTTAAGTTGATAATTTTCATTTAGAATGTTGGTGCTTAAATTTCAAGAACACGTGTTGGATAAAATGCTTAGAAGGTGAGGGCTTATGAGATGATTGAAATCAACCACTGTCGCAGACCCTAGAACTAAGATGAGGACTACTGAAGGGTAGTGTCTCGAATTCAAGTTTAACGGAGTGTAAGGGACTTACAAACTTCACCTTACATGAGGCATAGTCAGCCCGACATCTAAATTTATTGTCCTGCTTGGAAGGGCTACCAACTAACCCACTTAGTCGCTTTTAAAACTATGACATCCGGTCTCAATGCTTATGAAGAGTAGGGAGGTTGTTTTTAGTTAGAGGGTAGGACTTATAGCTTGGCTTTGAGGCCAAGATGTCTAATCATGAAAGGTATGCAAAATGCTAATTCATAGATGTAGATTTTTAGTTATTTGATCCTTAAGTGAAGGTTTTCCACATGAGACTCACTGGGCTATGCATTATCAATTTAAGTTTTGAAAACCTTGGCTCCTTGAAGGGAGCCATGTAATTTTTTTTTATTTGAAAAGCATGAAGCCTATGATTGATTTTAAATTGTTTACATTTTAATGGGTAGAAAACTTAAGTCAACCGCTTTAAAAGTCTTGGCCACCCAAAGCAAAACAAGAGATAAAACTAGGAAAAAACATGCATTTTTTATTGCACACCCAATAAACAATCAACACATGTATACTTATGTAAATTAACAAAAAAATGTTAATATCCAAATTATTACAACCAAATTTGGCAGCTAAGTTGTCTGTCATTATACAACCCAATCAAATCTTTATTTACAGACTCTTACTTGTGGGGGTCTTCAAGCTTCGGCTTCATGGTAGTTCTTGGGCTTCACCTTTAGTAGGTGCATCTTCTTGATCCACCTCTCCTCCAACTAAACCCCACAAGTTGAACATACAACCTAAAATCTAATAAAATATATTTAGAAAACGAAAAGATTCAAACTGACAAGATAGAGGGTTAGGAGCATGTATTTATATAAAGCATGAAAAAGTGCATATCCAAAATTATTTAGCACTTGAAGTGTCAAGCCACTGCTTTTATCTTATTGGAACATCTCCTTGGGGAGTTTAAGGAACACCTGCCATTCAAGCGTTTTTTATTTATAATTTATTGCATCCTTTTTTGGACATGACCACCTATAAGAAGAACATGCATATATATATATATACTATCCACTTAAGACCAAATGCCCACAATACAGACAATCCAAAGATAATTATACCACATCATCAAAAACATATGTATAAAAAGAAAAATTCTAATCCTAGCATGTCTAGGGAGCTACCAAATGCCCACAATGCAGACAATCCAAAGATAATTATACCACATAATCAAAAACATATGTATAAAAAGAAAAATTCTAATCCTAGCATGTCTAGGGAGCTTTGCATCTAAGTATGTGAGGTTTGTTTGGCATGTCACATTATAGAAGATGTTTTGGTGAAATAAATATCACTTAGAGTTTGGGTCTAAGAGAAAGACGTCCAACATGTAGCTTTTGGGCTAGATGTTGGAGAATTCTCCTTAGCTTTTGGATTAGGGGGAGGAAAATTTCCCACAACTTAGTGGTCGGAGGAAATGAGATGAAACCTATCGCTTTGAGGCTAAGGAGGTGGGTGTTTGCTTTTGCTTTGAGGCTAAAGGAAAGGAGAGAAGATATTTAACATATGACTTTTGTTTCAAATGTTAGAGATTTCTCCTTAGCTTAGGAGCTAAGAAGAGGAGAAAATATCCTACATCTTTGGGGTTGGAGGAGGAGAGGAAGCCCATAACTTTTGTGCTAATGTTGAAAATCTTCTAATGCATTTAGAGCCCATAGAAATGAGGGAAGATTTGTACCTTTTAAGATACAAATCAAGAGGTCTCCTTGTATTTGTGTATTCAAAGATAGGGAGACACTTGTTTAGTTTGGATTAAGCAAATGAAAGATGAGTCACCAATTGATTTTGGCTCAATAGGTGAGGATGATTGATTTGCAATTGGGGTTGCAAATCAAGAGGAATTATCTCTGTTCAATGATGGATGTTTGGTTTGCTAAGTGTAGGTAGAGCAAACATAGAAAAATGATATGTAGATTTTGACTTCAAATAGTGGATTCTTTGGACTTTTGGGTGTCCAAAGAAAAGAGTTATTCATCCAACTTGGGTTGGAAGAACAAAAGGGAATATATGATTTATATTCCTATGCTTAAGATAGAAATATTTGTTGATTTTGGTTAAAAAAAATAGACGATTTAATGTAGGTTTTATTTACTTAACGTGTGTTAAGTAAATGCAAGAATCTCCTACAACCTTTGAGTTATAGAAGAAGGGAAAAATTGTGCAACTTATAGGCTACAAGTTGGAGAAATTCCTTTGAACATTTGACGTTCAAAGAAAGGAATGTTCATTCGTCTAATTTTGTGTTAGAAGAATGAGAGGATTTTCTACAATTTTGGCTTGTAGAGAGCAAGAAGATGAAATTTGGATATTGCAAGCTAATGAATATTCTTTGAACATTTGGTATTCAAAGAGAAGATGTATGTTCTCCCAATTTAGGTTGAGGAGGATGAAAAAGGATTTGAATGTTCTCCTACAATCTTGGCTTACAGGAAATGATGAGGGATTGGAACTTAGAGGTTTCTAATTAGAGGAAACTCTTTGAACATTTGGTGTTCAAAGAGGGACAACCATCCATTTAATTTAGGTTAAGTGATTGGAGGAATAAAACTAGGATTTGAAACCTATGTTTTGGAAGGATTATTCATTGGTTTTATGCTCCAACGAATAAGGTAGAAGAAACTTAAAATTTGGTTCCAAGTTCAAATGATTCATGCAATGATGTATTTGAAGCTTTGGGTGTTTCAAAACAACATGCATGACGAAGGATATTTGTTCGTTTTGTGTCTCTACAAAAGAGATGGAAGAACTTTGATTTTGGTTCCAAGTTGAAGGGCATGTAGCATATATTTAGGATTTTAAGGAAATCCAAAATACCACACAAGAAAGATTGAATGATGATTGTGTATTGATTTTGGTATCAACAAACAAGACAAACATTTAGGATTTGAAAACCTCTATATGAGTTTAGAGGTAACGAAAGAGGAGATGGTTTGTTGGTTTTTTGTGGTCTAACAAACGAGTGATTTGGTGATTTCCCTACAACTCTGGGGTTGAAGGAAGAAAGAGAGGGAACCTAAGCTTTTAGGCTAAGGAGCAGTTAAAGGATTTCTGCAACATTTGGTTTGTAGAAGGGGAAGAAGAAAACATAACTTATGGGTTATGAATTCATGGATATTCTTTGAACACTTGGTGTTCAAAGAGAAAGGTGCCACTCACTTAATTTAGGTTAAGCGAATGGAGGGATTTTTTAAAATTTTGAGTTGTAGAAGAAAAAGGAGAAGATGCAAATTAGAGGTTGCGATTTAGAGGAAATTCTTTGGATATTTGGTGTCCAAAGAGAGGTGTACACTTGCCTAATATGGATTTGAGCAAATGAGGGGAAATATCATTTGTTGGTTTCTTTCTCCAATAAATGGGATAAGGGAAACTTGGAGTTTGATTCTAAGTTTAAGAACTTGCAACATGACATGCTTAGGATTTTGAAGAAATCCATAATACAAAACATGAGGAAGATTGGTGGTAACTCCTAAGGGAGGCTAAGAGTCATGCAATGCATCATTTGGAACCTTGAGGAGATTCCAATATCACGCATGAAAGGGATGGAGAGTTGAATGTTCGTTGACGTTGTGTCTCAACAAATGAAATAT